AAGAGTGATATATTTTATTTGGAAGGATATTTCATATCTAATCAGGCAACAAATATTAACCATTAATTAATATGTTTAAAGTAAGGTGGGATGGCATTCTAGCTTTTTAGATGGACCTAAAGCAACTTTACCTTTTTTTTAAAATGACAAAATATTCAGAGCTCTCTCACATTGGATTCTCCAACAATAAAATACAAATGAATCACTGTGTCCTTGGCTCATGCAACTGGATTCTGCCAAAGTCTGTACGGGCCTTAATCCCCACTAATTAGGGGAAACTCCAGACACCCCAGAAGCACAGAGCAGGCCACGCCAGGCAGTCTGCACCCGCTGTCGTCCACGGACAGATTAGAAAGACCTGCCACAGAGGAGCTGGGACTGCCAATAGGGTGAGCGAGGGCCAAAGGCGGGCAGAGAGGTGCGACGGTGGGAAAAGCCCAGTGATCGTGGGGAACAACACACATTTTTGTTACCAGGCTTTCTTTTGGCCTCTCTGCAGATCAGGTGAGAAAATGCATACAAATATACATATTACATGTGCTAATAAGGAAGGTAAGGGTTTCTTTTAAGAAGTTTTAAGGTGCCAAAACCGGTTTGGCTCAGTGGATAGAGCGTCGGCCTGCGGACTGAAAGGTCCCAGGTTCGATTCCGGTCAAGGGCATGTACCTGGGTTGCGGACACATCCCCAGTGGGAGATGTGCAGGAGGCAGCTGATCGATGTCTCTCTCTCTCATCGATGTTTCTAACTCTCTATCTCTCTCCCTTCCTCACTGTAAAAAAAAAAAAAAAAAGAAGTTTTAAGGTAAAAGTAACCGTGTAAAGGGTCATACTGCTGCTGTTAAGCCTCGGGCACAGTCATACTCACTGAGCACCGTGCGGCCCTATGCTAAGGGAGCACTTCATACAGTCCTCCAGGCAGTCCTCCCCCCAGTCCAAAAGCAGGTGTGGTGTCTCGTTTCAGATGAGGACCCCGGGGCTTAGAAGCCCGGGTCCCACTGCCACTGTGCAGCCAAGCGCAGGCTCTGAGCCTCCTGTGACTGACAGGCCGCAAACCTCTCACACTTACACAGAAATACCAGACTCACTTGTAGTAGTCAGAGGCCATTTCAAATTCACCAAGAAATATGTATGCATTTCCAAGGTTGCTGTACGCTCTTCTTTCGGCTGCTTTATCCCCAAATTCTTTTGCTATAAGGAGACGCTGAAAGAGAAAGCTCAGGTGAGACAGAGCCACGACAGTCAGGAACCATCTCATCCCTGCAGACACGGCTGGAGAAGCACTGACCTGCTCGTGGGCTATGACCGCGTCTCTGAAGTTGCCCAGGAGGTAGTGTGTGTTTCCCAGGTTTCCAAAGGCACGTCCCTGGGCGGCTCGGTCACCCAGAGCCGTCACCAGCGACAGGTTTTCCCTGAGAGCAGAAAGTTGTGAAAGGATAGGATGGGGGATTTACTTATTAGATTTACACATCTAAGTCTTTTTGTCAAAAAACAGTTTTTAGAAAAGCTTACAGCCACAACGTGCCACATCTTAAAGGTGTGTCTGTGGTGGAGAGTGGCTGTAGGAACTGGCTGGGGACATTTTACTAAACCATCCCGTGGGTTTCTGCCCAGAATCAAGGATGCAGTCAGTCTTGAAACCCCTAAGCGAGGAGTCCTCTGAGATTCTACTGAAAAGAGACTAAACTTACCCAAAGTAACTTAGACTAACCAAGGTACTTCTTTTTTCTGCCACTAAGTGGCGCTGGTCTGCAGTCTAAAAGGAAGCTTTTCTGGGGACACTAATACAACTCTGTAACCTTTCAGAACAATTTGGTTTATTTTTACTTGCTAGTCCAAACTTTTCAACCTTTGCCAAACCTTAAAGCTTCCTCTGCGGTAAAGAATGCACAGCACCCACTCTCACCACTCCTGTCGACATAGTACTGGAAGTATTAGCCATTGCAATTAGACAAGAAGAAGAAATAAAAGGCATCCAAATTGGAAAAGAAGTAAAACTGTCCTTATTCGCAGATGACATGATATTATACATAAAGAACCCTAAAGACTCCATCAAAAAACTATTAGACTTAATAAATGAATTTGGCAATATAGCAGGATACAAAATTAATATCAAGAAGTCTATGGCATTTCAATACACCAATAGTGAGCTTACAGAAAGAGAGGCTAAAAAAGCAATCCTATTTACCATCGCACCAAAAATATTAAGATACCTAGGAATTAATTTAACTAAGGAGGTAAAAGACCTCTACTCAGGACATTGAAAACTACAGGACGTTGGAAATAGAGATAGAGGAAGATATAAACAAATAGAAAAATACACCATGTTCATGGATTAATAGAATCAACATCATTAAAATGTCCATACTACCCAAAGCAATCTATAGATTCAA